ATCTGCAAAGCATTAAACTGAATCTCAGCTGTAGTGTGAATGATACAGAAGATTTTTCATCAAACATGACTAATATTCTCATCACATACTATAGTTTATCTATATTTTAGATTGGTTGTCTAAGAAGTTAATTAATGCCATCTAATTAACAGTGCACATGTAGGTCATACTTTACACCTACAGAATTTTCAAGCATATTTCTAGGAACAAAGTCTTATGAGCTTTTCAGGTCAAGAAACTCTCTCAATATGGATTTGTCCAGTATTTATCACAAATTGAAGCCTATTTCTCATTAGGCCTTGGTAGTAATAGAAGTGCTAAATAATACTGATTATACATTTTGCAAGTGCAAATACTTGTGTGTGCAAATCAAGGTAAATGCTCAAATACAAAAAAAAGAGAAATTTTTTAGGCACATTCATAAATTTCTGAAAAAATGGCATTTTCATCAGGAAAATAACTCTATTACTGAATTCAAAAATAGTTCATTGCCTTCTTTTTCAGCCTTTTGCACAGTCTAAAAATATAGTCAAAAGTTGTATACAGTAAGACCATTAATCAAATTAAAGGAGCTTAATAAAAAGTTAATAGATATAAAAGTGTATGGAATATAATCAGTGGATTTGAAAAATATAGCAGGGTAACGTGGGAACTAGATTATCATATAAGTTTTGTGCATCACTATGTTCAACATTTTAAAAGGATTTAACTGAAGCCAATAAAAAATGAGTAGTAGTAGAATGGATGGATTGAATAAATCTTTTTTGGAAGCTTTGTTTTCTCAACATTTTTATGAAAGAATTAGTTAGAAAGTAAATGCATTTTCCCTTGGAAAATATTAACTCAAATGGAAACATTTCATGGTGGCTCAAAATTTTCTAATTTGGTATTTAAACATAAGATGTAAAAACATTTCCATGTATTGGAGAAACAACTTTGATGGGGAACTTTTGACCTGGTGTACTAGGCTTTGTTTTATCTTTGTGAGTCCTGACTACTTTCTCTCTTTCTGGCCAAAGCTAAAGCGTATGTATTTTGTATTCTCGGTGCTTTCTAGAAGCCAAGAAGCTGATGCTATCACTGCTCCCTTTAACTCTCATGATCATAAGGGACTTTGGAGACCCTGTTGGTTTCCTATAGAATTAAAATAAAGACTATCCTACACCCATTGGTCCAAATCCCACAGATTTCATATGTTAAGGCCAGCAGTTGTCTTCCAGCAGTGCAGACAAAAGTGAAGGTCAAGTCACTAGTAAGTGAGCAGAAGCCCAGTACAGACAAGAGATAGAGGGGAACAGATAGTTGGTTGCTGGGACATCAAAGGGAATGGCCGTATCAGCTGAAGTATACAATATAGAGGTTTAAAGCTGAAATAAAGGAGTGCAATATGTGACCTGCGCCTTATTAAGCATAAGCTATGGTGTGCAGTTGCACTGGAATCCTAAGCCTACCTGTGGTTTAGGGTCCTACTTTACATTTTGCATAGATCTAATAACAATTTTATGGTTGCTTAGAGCAAATCTAACGGTCCCTGAAAACTTATTTAATGTGGGGAGGGGAAACAATTGTTTGAATATAATATTTACCCAAAAGACTAGAATGGCTCATTAGATACATTTGTATGTGGGCTTTTTCACTTTCCAGTGCATTATTGAAAATAAATATAAAAATTTAGCAGCTCCCCTGGAACCACTTAATCCATCTTGCACTTTCTCTGTACAGTTCTGTGGCTTACTGTTTTGAAAGTACAAAAAGCTCTGCAGTGCAAAATACAATTCTTATTAAATACAGTTAATGTTTCCAGTAAATCATTTCTATAAAAAATAACTCAAACATTTGGAAGTGCTAGTTTTTCAAACTATTGTAAAATTACTACAATATATTTTACATCATTTGCCAATTTTTTTTTCTAAAATAAGGCCAATGTTTGTGACACAGCAGATAGGCAACATAGAAGCATTCAGGATGGGGGCAAGGAGTTTACACTCAGCTGCAAATTAAATCATTTTACATCTCTTAATGAGAACCTACTTAAAACAAATGTTCATTGACTAAACAAGTGCTGTTTTTACTCAGAGAATATTTTTGTGAGTACACTCAGAAAGTAACTTGTGAACCAGACTCTAAAGTCAATAGATAGGTTACATTACGGATATATTCCCTGTCTTGTAAAATATCTAAGATGCCAGTGAAAAATGTAACATGATCATCTTTTACATTAATTCCATTAATCACTAATAAGGGATTAAAGGAAATTAATGAGGGGATATTTTTTGAAGTTAGATGTCTTGACAATATTGCAGACTGATTTTCATAGTGCAGAGCACCCATAATTCAAGTTTAGATACAGAAGTCATTCGCTGTTGTTATTAACAATACAAAAAAATCAACAATGGGAACGAACTGAGCTATTATTCCTTTGGTGTTTGATAATAATTTAAATTTAAGAAAGTGAAAACTGAAATATCTCACTATTTAGAATGAAACATACATGATATTAACAGAACAATGAAACAGTTAAAAAAAATGTTGCTCATTGCTGAACACTTATGCTACACTTGATTGTAAAATTGTTAGCTTTTTGGATATTAGGTGCAAAAAAGTGCAAAGAATATTTAGTCTAATGTTACAGTACCACATTACAAAAAGTATCTTCTAGGCCACGAAGGCCACTCTGATATAGTTTATATTAACATAAATGTATATGCAAAATAGCTTTTCAAACTCCACATGTATATCTATCTATGTATCTCCAACAATCCTGCAAAATCACTGTGAAAATGATCGAGGCCACAAAATCTCATGATGATGACAACGATGGGAGAAAATATCCCCACAAAGAAGAGATTGTTCTCCTATTGAAAAATTTACTCACCCAGAGCAAATGGAGGAATGAAATTCTGCAAGGCTGCTCTGTATTTACAGTGATTAAACTACAATCACAGAGGATCGGTGGACAGCATTACCAACCCTCCCTGGGAAAAGCTATTTCTACCCAGAGGCCATGAAAAACAACCTAAAATGGACATTCAAAAACTTGGGCTGGGGCTTTTTTCCTTCTTTCTTTTGTTCTTTCTTACTTTCTTTCCTTCTTTCTTTGGATATGTAAAGAATGACTGAAAGCTTTATTTGCTTATTCACTTTCCATATGTATATGAAATTATTTTATACTTGATGTTTTTTTTGCCTCAGAAACACATGGAATATTAACACCAGCCTTCGTAGCTTTCCTGAAGCACTTAAGACATTTGAACTGTCTGTCTCAGGGAATAGTTAAAGGAATGTAGGGACTCCATCTTTATGAACATATTCTGCATTAACCAGGCAAAACCATCAATAATGCTTCTTTAGACATTTGCCTAAAACCCTTTTCCCTTTATAACCACACTAATGCTCACAAATTCTTTCATTATGGAACACTTACATATCGGCAATTTTGTGTGTATGATATTTTTCTTTTGTGAACATGTTACTTTAAAAATATTATCTTCACAGCATTGTTTATACATTACAATGGTACAAAGAAGAGCATCCACCCCAACTTTTTTTTTCCTAGTTGTAGATCACCTTTCAAAACTCCCAGACAAATCATGCAGTCTTTTCTGTGCCTTCACAGGGTCATTTATAGGAAAATATAAAGAAAACAATTATCTGAATGAGGATCCTTGATGACATCAAGGATCTTATCTATCAAGAACCAAGTTCACAAAACAATTTGCAGTTCTCTTCCAGTTTTTAAACTAGCTCACTTCAGCTAACATTTTTTTTTGAATTTGCTGTCACTGTTTATTCTAATAAATGAATTTACTAGTTTATATAATTGTTACATTTTGATTTCTCTCTCCACATGTTGATACAAAGCACAGATTCATAAATACTGGACTCCTAATTCTCAAGACATCCAGACAGGGACAAGAAACAATCCCATGTGAGTTGCCCACTAAGTTAAAATAGCTTCAAGCAAATCTAGTATTGCCACACAAAATCAAGAATCACATGTATGTTGTGCTGGTCATTTTATGAACAACAAAAATTCATTAAATTAATTCTTTTACTTCAGAGTATTCACTAAGCTAAAGTTCAGCCTGAATAAGGACTGAATAAAGACTGCATGATGCTCACAACAAATGGACTATTTCAAAGGGGCTGGATCCACCTCGTCAGGAGACACTTGTATCTCTGCAGTGCTGCACCAGTCTCCACAGGACTCGTCAGGGACACATTCATTGTCCCAATAATACCCACACCAGTGTTGCTCAGTGCAAATGCAGAGACACCTGTGCTGGCTCTGAATCAGCTGCTGGAGAGCTGAAACAAAAGCCTGGCCCTCTGTCACTTACTTATGCTGGACAGGAAAATGAGTTCCCATGTGTGCAGCTGGCCTCCTGATTGCTGGAAGAGTTGGACTGCGAAATATGGTCTGCAAAGGCTGAACTGAAACCCACTGAAGCCAGTAGGTTCTGCCCCAACAGCTTCAGCAAGCTTTTGATCAGTCCTTCCTCCTTAGTCATGAATAAACTAATTTTTCAAAATGTGACGACTGCAGTCTTTTCATGAGGTGTCCACTTTGTAGTGTTATTTTAAGAAGTCATATAGGATTTAGTGCAATTTAGATGAAATGACTATTTGGTCTACCTCAAAAGAAGTACACATTACAAGCTGCAGTTGTTTTGAATTGCTTAAGAGATTTTTCTTCTGATTTCTTTCTCTATGCAAAGGTATAGCTCATATCAAAATACTTATTTGATATGACATTGGATATATGCCAGAAAGAAACAAGTGAATGAATCTGCATGAAGATTATATTTGGCTCAAGTAAGCTTCATTTGTAAGTTAAGAAATTATTATAAACTGTAGTATAAGACTTTGAATAGGAAAAAAAATGTATTTTAATACAAAAATATGGATAGAGTTCATCTGCGGAAGCCAAACCTTCATTGATGTAGATGTGAGCTACATGGGAGCTTTCGACATTGGACACGATGAATCCATTCTTGCACCTAGGGCGTAAGTGGTGGTTTTGGTGATGAACAAGATCCCTGGCTATCAAAACTTGTTGCTCGGCCAGGTAACTGAAAGAAAAGTGTTATCTTTATGAATATCATCATATCTGACCATGCATTTCAATTGTTTCTAAGGATAAAAGAATCCTCCAGATAAAAATGTGAATCACAGTTATATCCTGTTTGCTTTCTTTTAGGCTGATAATCCAAAAAAAGTTTTTAACCAGCTATCTCACAATGCAAGTTTCCAGTAGAACTAACAATGAAAAGGAAACTCCTAAAGTGGCCTCCTGAAACCTCTCTTTGACTCATTCCACAGGATTTGGCTTATTTCACCATTCAGAGGTGGTACCTTTGTCTACACACCCACATAATCGAGTGAAAGAAAGGAATCTCTGAGAAGAGTCTTTTCTCCCGCTCTCAGAAGGAGAATTCCCGGCTCAGTTTCCCTGCCCTTTTACTCTTCTTCTGGAGATTTACTGGTGTTGTAATATTGGGCCTTTGCTACCCAACCCTGGATATTCTGTGAAGCCAGGTACTAGACAAAGGGGAAAACAAATAGCCAGTGCCACCTCAAATGGCAACTAATTTTCCCATAGAGATTGGGCCAGAAGAGGCTAAATGTGAGTCCTCTGTGTTACAAAGTAGGGCCTGCTGCTTTTCAAGGCTTCGCTATGAATCCTTTCAAACTCAAAGCCAATGAGCATTTTGTATACATAAAATCAGTAAGACGTGCCCACAGCATTCTCCTCTCTATGCCCAGGCAGCTGATGGTAAAATCAACCATACATTTGAATAAGCTTAATTATTCTAGAAGTAGCTGCTTGTATGTTGCCTCAACTTAGCCTAATTAGCAGATCAGTTTCAGATTCATGTTTTAGCAACATAACTCTTAACACTAAAGATTTTTGAACAGAAAATGATTGCTTTTGAAATATGTGCAGATGATCTCTTTTAAGTGGAAGTTTTAAAGGTTTTAATGCTATAATGTTGCCAGTGGCTCATGGAAATTTTTGAAATAGCACATCTAAAGGAACATCAAATCTCCAAATTGCAGTACAGGTGAATAACAACAGGAGTATTTGAACCAAAGTACATATATATATAAGTCCCTTACATGGGAAAATTCACCCTGGAGACTTAACAGAATGCATCTTCTATTTAAGTGTGATGCTCCTCTCCAACTTGGGTGAATTTATGATCGTTGTACTTCCTTATCCAGATTTTCAGACAAGCCTTCACCAGATCAGGGAAAGGCTTGTTCTAGAGTATGAACCTAAATAAACAAGTAACTTGTTGGCTATTCACCTGGTTGACCTACCATGCAGCTAGGTTTGGGTTGTGCTAAGGATCTTACTCCTGCCCTATCACTAGGCAGTGACACTCATGCTGCAGTGAATTTCTTATGTGTGAGAGAATTAATACACCAAGAAAGAAAGAATTTATCTACTTCTTACCTCTACTAGTGGATGCCAATGTGTTATTGGTTTACGTGGGTAAGCCAACATTTCGTTCCAATGATCTCTTCCAAGCCCTTCAGCATCAATTCCTGTCCGGCATACTCCAATGACCTCATTGTGCCCTACTCTGAGAATTGTAAGAAAGCAGAATTTCTTTTTTAATGAAAAATGTTTTAATATCTGCCTCACATAATTCAGTTGACTGATTCAATGCAGCAAGGAATAAAAGATGCCCAAGTTTTCATTTTATTTATTACAGGCATTACTTTTAATGGTAGCATAGTAGTATTAAGTTCTATAATGGCAGTATCCAGGAATTCTAGTCATTACCAGCATGCTGCTAGGAGTTACAAAAATAGTGATGAAACTTGGCCCCTTACCATCAAAAGGTTACAACCCAGAGGACACAAGGACAGAGAAGGACTGTAATATAGGGAATGATTTAGAAGGACAATTTGCTTATATTTTGTGAGATGGGAGACTGAAAGAGAATGGCAGAATACATTTCCTGCTCCAAATGCCTCAGACATTGTTTCACACTACATTTCTCAGCTCTAACCATGATGGCCATTGGAACTTCAACGAAAAATTTGAAAGGCAACTTCCCTTTGAGACATACGCAAGGGTGTATCCATAATAGGCCATACTTCCATACATCTGGCATGGCATAGGTTAATGGAGGGACTGGACTCTTCACCTTGCCTGTATGCACATTAGATTATTGGTATTCTACCTTCCTCTTCGCAAATGGCTTGAAAGTAGCAGCTGAAGAAGATTGTGGTACATAAGTTGCCATACAATTCTTAGAGCACAATTATGCCCCTTTCATAGCAGAGGGAGACTGTCTTCCTGACAGAAGTTTGTGGAGGATCAGAAATTTAATGATGAGGAAAAATAACCTGAAGTTTTTCTTACTAAAACTAGACTTTCATCTTACTAAACCACTGTTTAGTAAACTACTTTCACTATTTATTTGCCCTGCAGTCTCTAAGTGCTTATTACCAATGGCACTTGAGTGAAGCAGACTTGGCTTAGGCATGATTCTGTCCATAAGTTTCTTTTTTAACCTGCAGACCTAGGGCTGCTCCAAGTTGATTTTCTTCCTGTGAATCCTCTATGGGGACATGAATTAACCAAGGCCCAGATGTGTTATCAGTGAGGGCAGAACTCAAGGTTTACAAAGCATCTCTATTGCTCCAATCAAAGGATTAATCATGACCAAATTTTGTGAGGCAATTAAGCATTTAATGCTTACCTCCTAGGCTTTTTTTTTTCCTCTCTTTAAACTGGAAGGCATAAATGTTTTACAAAGCTCTTACAAAATTCAGCCACCAGACAGAAATGCATACTAATGCTAGCGGCACATGACACCACATAGCCATGTTACTTCTTCATCACAGTTATTTATGACACAGATAGAATTGTTTGAGCTCTAAAAGGCATGGAACATTGAAAAATGTTAGGAAAAGGCCCAAAGGATCTATTTTCTGTGGCGCTGAAAGTTCACGGAGGTGAAAAAACGTTGCTTACCATAAGAAAACTTCTCACTGAAGATTAACATTCAGAAAGCAAACTGTGCTTACCGGTCGTAATCCATCACTGCAATGGAGAGGCTCACTTGGTCCACATTCTCTGGAGGGATATCAAAGATGATGGCCTCATTATAAACTGGATTGAGCGTGTTCTTCTTCGTAGTTGTTTTCCGTTTTTTCAGTCTTCGACCCTCACACATCAGTGATACTTTGACATATGGATCTGAGTAACAGATAATCAGTTGTGTGCATTTGGAATTTGTGTCATTCAAATGTGAATCCAAAAAACAGTGTTTTTGCATGACTGTCACGTTGATAAGACACAAAATCGCATAGGTCTTTGTAATACTAGACAACACTGTGTTCAATATGCATGCAAAGGAAAGGCATACCTACTGCCAGACCAAAGAAAGCAAGTAGGTCTGAATAGGGCCTACACCAATTCTCTTTCTTGCTATTTCCACTTTGCAGCCATGTTAAACACACAGAAACAGCAAGCTGCTAATTGCCACCTTTCTGAATAGACTCTGTCTTGTTATTAAAAAAGGAAGTAGATTCACCTGATGCACCAGTTATATCCATTGCTTTGAGATTTCTACATTTGATGACTGTTAATGTCATTCTCCCAGCAGTAGGCAAATAACAAAGGGAAAACATGATCTCACCCAAATCTATACTCTCCTGAAAAAGAAAAGCAATGGTTAACAGTCTGACCATCCTGACAACAAATCAATTCAAATCACGCAAAATTTTAGAGATAATTTTTAACATGCAGAAGCTTCTTTTGAAGCATCAGACGTTTTTGAGAAGAACACACAGAGGAATTTTCAGAAAATATTTTTTAAAAAATATGGAAAGAGTAGCAGCAGGATAATATTTAGTGACAGATTCTAGACTGAGGAATTTAAACCAAAAGCAGAACCAAAACTTTCAGGATACTTGAAGGGGCAGGAGTATGTCTGTGTTGAATTCACAGTTAAAAAGGATGCTAAATGTAGAACACTAAGTTCTGGTCTTGAAAAGACTCTGCCTCCATCTTACCCAGTAAAAATAAAAGTTTTGGGATATTTATCGCACATATTTACATGAATTTTAGCCATTGAAGCAAATGTATGAAAGATTTCTTTTCTTCAAATATGTATACATGTGAAAAAAATATTCTTACTATCTAGGCGGTTTGAAAAGCTGAACACAATTTTAAATATTGCCAGGTTTCTACTGTTTTTGGGTAGTGTCTTACTCTAGAAGAAAAGCTAAGCATCTCTAATTTTTCAGGCTCAAGGACATCTTTTAAGAGAATGATATACTGGAAACGATAAACAAGGTCCCTATGGATCCTAATAATACTCACAGATTGTTTTTATGTTCAGACCAGACACTGGCAAGTCATGAAATATGAGGGTAGTATACAGTCCAGATGTTAAAACATTTGAGAAACATCAGAGAATATGGACTCCATAAATCCTTATTTTTAATTTCCATATAGATCACAGAATCACAGAATGGTTGAGGTTGGAAGGGACCTCTAGAGAACATCTAGTCTAACCTCCCTGCAATTGTTCAAATGCCACCCGTATTTTAGTTGCTGAAATGCCAGCTTTGTTCCAAATTGTTTTCTGTTCTTTTAATACTTTAATACCCAAATTAATTTATTAACTTAATTAATTTAATACCTCCCCCCACACACAAAAAAGGGAAAGTTACATATTAAGAGCAGCCCAGCATTCATCAATATGAACTTATAGATTATAAGGTGATCACTTCTACAAGGCAGCAATTCCCAAACATGCCTACGTCATCTCAAAAGACTTGCTTTAACAACTACCAAAAGATTTATTTTTAACATCCCAGCTTCAATGCTTCATCTGAAAAACTACCTTGAGAGTACAATTTTTTGGAGAACTGATGGATTTGTGGCTTAACTTTTCTAACATCAGAAGGCAAGCATGATTTTTTAAAAAATAAAATATAATAATTACTGCTCTGTAGAAGACAAATACATTGCTCTTTGTTATGAAGAGAGAAGGGCTCCTTGTTTGCATCTTATCAGATGCTTATTCAAACAGTTGTATTGTCTTTTGTGGGATCTAATGCTCTGTATAAACTCAATAAAGTATTTCACACCCTTCTTTAGTAAAGATAGACATGCCTCAGGTTCTTTTCCTGCATTGTAGACTCTACACTGAAGAATATGGTTTTAGAATAGTTTTAAATTCTCTGCTGCACCTTTAATAAAATACTAACATTTGAGGAGGTCAGTCATTTCACAGTCAGTCATTTTGTTATGATGCTGTTCTGAAAATTAATAGACTGGTATGCATGTAAGCATGCACGCTGGGCAACACACAGGGCATCTATTTGACATATTCCCCCGGTCCCTTTCTTTGCTACACAAAAGGCAGAATTTTGTGTCTGAGAATATATTAACAAATTCACTTTTCTATTTCTAAGTTTCTAAACAGAACTTGAACAAATGAAATGCCTGTGAAAAATTCTAAAATGGGAAAATTAGTGTTTTCAAGCAACCATTTTGAAGCACTGGTGTGGTCTCAGGTTGCAAGGTTCTGCTAGCTTGTGGTTATCTCTGAAACGTGACTGCTTTTCACTCATTTGTTAAAGTGGCAAGTGTTTTCTGTTATAGTTTTTACCATATTTGAGATCTGTTTTATACACAGCTTCTGTTATTAGTATTACTTTCTGAACTGGGAATCTGATCACGTCCCTCATATCCATATGTGAAAGAGATCTCACTCTTTCATTTGAAACACAGTTCCTCCACTTTCAGTGCTTCAAAATCTATGTTGAGGGAGATGGTGAGGATGGATCAGGGAGCATAGTAGGTAGATCAAGAAAAGTAGAGAGGACACAAATCCTTCCTTCTAGATCTCCTACAACAAAAAGACACTGTCCTCCAAATTATTTTTATTTTTCTTAAACCGCCTTTATTCTCATCACTGCTCCACCAGTCCAAACAGCAACCAAACATAAAGGAAAAATGACTTACAACTTTAAATAGAATCAATTTTCTCTTAGAATTAGAATTTCAAACAGTAATAATAAATCTAACAGTTAAACAACAATTTTCTGATAGTACCACCTGAGGGCAGATCAAAGGCATTATTGGTCCTTAATTTTTGCTATTTGTTTTTATTCACCAAGAAGCACCAATGTATGTGACTCATACCACAGTATCAAATACACAGACATAATATGTTCTTACGGATCTTCATTTTTCCTCTGAACCTATTTTACATAAACTTTTCACAAATTCCATGCCCTTCTACTTCTTGTGCATTAATGCATCACTTATCTCTTTGCTGACATCCTAAACTTTTAAAAGGCACTGTTCCAGTAAGAATAGCTATATTGTTACGGTGCCTAACAGTTCATAGAGTATCCACCAAAGATAAACTTACCTTAAATGCTGCCAACAATAATGTACAGGAATCATAGAATCATAGAATCGTTAAGGTTGGAAGAGACCTCTAGGGATCATCTAGTCCAACCCCTCTGCACACGCAGGGTCATATAAACATGTCTGTAAAACTAAGGTGAAAAACTCTCACAGTTCAAATTATACTACATTAGAAGTGAAGGTTGTGGACTCAGTTCTTCCCTACGACTCGTAGCTGTCTTGGGAGCCAGATGCTGGGGGTGCATGGGCAAAACTGGCTTCTTAAGCTGTAGACTCAGAAGTTAATCAGGAAGTTACAAATCATCTTCAGGGACCTGCCCTGTGTAGGTAAATCCAGAAAAACTCATTTTGGTAAGATGGGAATGTGAACACCAGTATTCTACTATTTCTTTTTGAAGAGAAATTTTATAGGCACTGAAAATTTGGGTGCACTCAAAGGATAAAGAAGAATACAGGCAGACAGGGCAATATATAATGACTTTTTTATTCTCAGTCTTTTTTCTTTCCTTTCTTTAGAAAGAAAAGTCCTTTCCAGGTACTGAGGACATTTTGAAAATAAGCCAAGAAAATACCTGCAATCAAACCTAATCTTTTGACCTTATAATGAATAAGCAAGATGCCTTAATGTAAGAAGAAAGGTTTTGGCAAAGAAAGGGATGAATCCTTCCACTCTGCTCAGCAAACTGACCACGGGACAGAGGCACTGAAGTTACCACCGCTTGATAAGCTGTGATGCCCTACTCTTCAATCTTAAAGTGGTCACGGATAGGTTTAGAAGTGAGAAAACTGCACTCTTTATACAGATATTTTCAGATACCAAAGACCTATGCCTGGAGAAAAAGGGGCTTGTGCTGCCCTGAAATGCCGAGTTGTCATATGGTAGAAGAAAACTCATGTGACTTCACATGCTATTATGACAGACAAAAGCTGCAGTGGAGTGGAATAGATATTACTTCAAATACCTACTATACTATTGTTTATATCCTTTGATATATGAATCTCACTGTAAAGGAAACACATTTACTGGAAATAAAATTACTAACTATCCTGCATGAACTCGCAGTCACAATTTAATTCATCTTCCAGTGGCAAGAACTGGATGTCATAAGATTGTGACCACAGACTAGGAGTTTGCATCTTTTCTTTTGGATTAAACTGAAATCCATTTCCTCCCAGAATCCTCTGAAACAATTCTTCTCATTATTTCTTTTTATTTGGATTTCATAATCATTGCATCATCTGATGTTTGCTGACATTTTTGTAGAAACCGAACTTTTGCTTAGTAAAGAATAGAAAGTCTTAGTATTTTCACTAATTTTCTACTCTGAGCATCAACTGAGATGGGTGGTCTTTCTTCATACTTAGGTGAACAATGTGCATTTTGTTAGGACCCCTAGAAATCATTTGTCAGCAGGGATTAAAGTATTATAACACATCTTTATAAAAAGTATTCTTTGTAACTGTTTTACGAAAAGTGAAACTGTAGGATAGTCCAAGACTTATGAACACTTTAAATGTTCCTAAGAAGGAAGATTAAAATTCTCTCTATATAGATGATATCTACAGTTATATATTGGGTAAAATGGCTGGGATATCACTTTTTTTTTTTTTTTTTTTACTAATAGGTTTAGTTTTTTGGGGCTAGAAGAACAAGTTTGTTCTAAGATAATGAATAAAATAAGGCTCAGCTTTGAAACACACCATAACAATCTGTCTAAAGATTATAATTAGTAACAATTTTAAATGCCCCAGAAACCTAAGTGCTATTGATTTTAATTGAGATTTAAAAATAGGATTTAAATTACTACACAACCCCAGTGGTCTAGAAAATTAGGATTTCTCTTGCTTTATAGTCCACTAGATAATTAAGCTCACACAAACCATCTTGATTGGAACACTTCAGTACAAGCAAACCTGTGGAAGCCAAATAATAAACTGTCCTCAATAACTACAATCACTTCACAGCACACTTCAAACAAAGTGTGACTTAGAAGACATGAGCAGGAAGCCAGTGGCTGCCATACAAGCATGTTTTTAACTATGTTACAAATGGCTTTAGTAGCAGAACTATATATTCACCTAGAACTTTTGTTAGACTAGTTGTAAGTTTCTTATGTAACACCCATGAAGTTTTATCGCTTTCCTTGGCCTATTTTGAGATTTTATTTTTCCTCTTTTATTAAGCTTAGATTTCAATTAACAACTAGCTTTACAGATGCTCATAATGATTCCCTCCCACAGACTTCCAATAACTGGCACAGAAAAA